TATGATACTTGTTGTTTCTTATATATATAATATGTTTGGATTTTTTCCAAATGTCATCAATAATTAAATATATAAGTATATAGCATTTTAATTAAAAAGTAATAAATTATTATGATATATAGCATGACAAATTTAATAACATAATAGATTGTATAATCAAGTGATATATAATATAGTAAATCAATAACATAATAGCTTCATATTTTTCTAAATAATCAATATAAATATTATAAGATAGCATTCAATTAAAAATAATAAATATAGTATGGTAAATTGATAAAATAACATATTGTATAATCAAGTGATGTATAGCATAACAAATTTAATAATATAATAAACTTAGTTAAATATAGTATGGAAAATTGATGAATATAACAATTGTATAATTAAATGATATATAGCGTGACAAATTTAATATATATAGCTTAATTAATATAATATGAAAAATTTATGAACATACATATTGTACAATCAAGTAATGTATTGCATAATAAATTTAATAACATAATAGCTTAATAAACCAAATTAATCCACACATATGTATTGATCATAAATTACAATAGACTTTCATTCCACTATAAATTTATGGGTGTTGATACAAAATATATATGTAAACATTTAAAATATTTATGATAATTTATGTAATGATAATAAATATATGATAACCTATAATTTTGGTAATTTCATAACATATTTAACATATTTAACCCATGATTAATATATGTGTGATAATAATTTTGTATATACACAATTACACATTATATATAACAAATTAATCACACATATATATTGATCATATATGATAATATACCCTCATTTAACTATGAATTTATGGGTATTGATACAAAATATATATGTAGACAGTAATGATAATATATATAACAAATTAATCACACATATGTGTTGATCATATATTATAATAGACTTTCATTCCATTATAAATTTATGGGTGTTGATACAAAATATATATGTAAACATTTAAAATATTTATGATAATTTATGTAATGATAATAAATATATATGTAAACAAATTCTTTTTGTTTGTGTCATGTTTGATGTGGAACTAAATTTGTTTTGAACGATTTATTGTTCTGTTTAATTTATTTTGAAGTTTTATTATTTATGATGGTTAGTTATTTTAATTTATGGAGTTTTTATTGATTTGTTTAAAATATAAATATAGATAGAGAGATGATTTATTTTCAAATGTTGAATTAAATGGGTATGAATTATAAATTGTTGCATATTTGTTTTTTAGAGCATGAATTGGAAAGTTGGTGTATATTTTTTATTCGAATAGGTATTCGAACGAGTTATTGTATTTACAAGTTATCGAACGAGTTAGTTGAACAAGTTTGTTGAACGAGTTAGTCAAACAAGTTAGTCGAACGAACACGAACAAGCTTTTTGTTAATCGAACGAACACGAACACACATCCTTTGTGTGTTCATTCGAACATGAACAATCGAACATGCTTATCGAACGATTTTCGAACAGGCATGTTCGTTCATGTTCAGTTCGATTGCAGGCCTACGCCTGATGCACGCGAATAAATTTACAATGCACAAAAAAAAATGGAAAAAAAAAAAAAGAGAGAAAAGAGAATAAGGGCTCATTAACAACCAACCAGAAGCACCGAACATTGAGAATCAAGCATAAATTTACTTTCATATTAGCCAACTGGCCAAACATTCAATAAGAGAAAATTAAAACAAAAAATGCATTACTGAAGCTTAAAAAATGGTCAATAACATTTTCAATGATCTAAAACAGAATTTGATTCATAAAACTTAAAATGATTGTACAACCCAAAATATTTGTTTTGTTGTTTGAATGTTCGGAAGTTGCTGTGATAGAGAGAATGCTTCAGATTTTGGTTTATATCAATGAGGGTATTTTTGACTTTTAGTTATGTAATAAGGCTATAGAGTGTAGCACCTTTTGTTTTTTATAAATGGGTTAGTTTTCTACTCACACTTAAAATAGGAGTTATATAATATAATCCATAATTTTTCTTACCTTTAACATAAATTTAAATTTTTTTATTGCCGTTATTTTCAATCAACAATTATATTAATATTTTAAAATGAAACTTTTAATTAATTATAGTCCTACTTTAGAGAGATATATGCATGGTGGAGCACTTAGAGCAACAACAATTTATTATTGAGTACTTTACAATATCATGCTATGTAATTTAACCACTATTGGGTGTTCCAACGGTCAACTAAGACTCTTTAGTATATTATTCAAGAAAAATGCTATATCCACCGAAACACGTGGAGACCACCACGTTGGATAATTGAATACTGACATAAATGAACGGTCGTCCAATAATTTCGAACGGCCGTCCATACATCCTAGACGGTCGTTCATAATGGAATGGACGACCATCCATAAAAAATTGTTTTGTTTAAAAAAAAAAACAATGGATGCCCGTCCAAATTTTATGGACGGGCGTCCAGTTAATATGGACGGGTGTCCAGTTGATATGGACGGCCGTTCATAAAATTTGGACGCCCATCCATTATTTTTTTTTTAAACAAAACAATTTGGACTCCAGTCCATCTTTATTCGTTTCTCTCTTTAACTCATATCACTATTGTGTTTTACAGACATGGGTCTTGAAAGTTTTTATTCACTGCGAAGGCTGCAAGAAGAAAATCAGCAAAGTTCTTAAAGCCATTGATGGTATAAGATATTTCTTCTACTTTCATCTTTATTCGTGTTCATATATTTCTTTAAGTCATTATTAAATTTCTAGTATGTGTTCACTACATAAATCACTTTCTTATCTTTCAAGTGTCTATACCACCCTCGTAGATTCACAACAACATAAGGTTCATTTAGTTAAAACAAACTTAACAGTGGAAATCATCATTGAAGCTGCAGTGACCACGGGGACATTAGATGCCATTAGAGAAAGGATGAAGAGCATGCAATTGGCTGCAGCTGCTGGGAACCCAGAAGCTGGAAGCAGGCCTTTAATAAACACCACCCTGGTGTAGAGAATGAAGTATAGGGTGCGGTTCTCCCCATGGATGAGAAGGCGTTATCTGGACTTCAAGCCCGCATGGAGAGACTAAAAAGTGGAACAATGGAACACCTTTAGAAATTTTTTAGCAATAAAAGGAGATACAACTCACCTGGTATTTCAGTGGCTGTGAAGTTTCTTCAAGTCATGTCGCAAAGAAAGAGAGAGAGCATTTAATTAGAGAAGGGACTCCCGTCCAAAAATAAAGGACGGCCGTCCATCCCTTATGGACGGGCGTCCATTACATACGGACGGCCATCCTTACATAATGGACGAGCGTCCATTCATTGTGGACGGGCGTCCATTCTAGATTTTTTTTTTTTAATTTTTATATTTTTTATTTCATTTAACAATAGACGGGCGTCCTTTAAATGAGGACGTCCGTCCGTAGTAAATGGACTCCCGTCCATATAATATGGACGGGAGTCCATGTTAGTGAACGGTCATCCATATGTTATGGACGGCCGTTCATTAGAAAAAATTTAATAACGTAAAATGCGTTGATTAGTCTGAGTCAATATACACGTAAGTAGGTACAAAATTTCGGTGTAAAAATGTCAGTGTCTGTAGCATTGTTGATTATTCAAAAGGTCATAAGTTCGATCTACCCAAGTTACTAATAGGAGTGGTCATTGGAGAATTTATCTGACTGTCTTTAGGACATTGAGAGATTAGTTGAACTATATGTAAGCAAGTTGGTTCGGACATTCTCGGTTTAAAAAAAACAAAAAATCATGCTATAGACAAAGTAGCTGCTTAATTTTAGTGGTGTTAGCTCAAAGGCGTATCATCTAGCAAGTCAATCCAGCACCATAATAAAAGATATTCATAACTTTTTAATTAACTGAAATCAATATGAAGCAGGCTCCGGATTATATATATATGGACCGAGTTATTAGTCTGATAAAGTTTATGTTTGGACAGTTCATTGAAGAACCTCAAACATCCATATTAGTTTGATGTTTTTACATAAACACCCCTAAGGTTTACTGAAAGAAAAGAGGCCGGCCCCCAGGGTTCAGAATGTAATTATCGCACTCTTATAATTGATAGACACTTCGTAAAAAATTAATTCGGACCTATAATATTGATACAATGACTAATATACCCTTATTTTATAATTTCTTTTACTATAAAAAAGAAAACTAATATCTGACATTTGTCATATGATCAAAATATTAATATATTAAATTTAACAATTTGATAAAACATTTGGGAAATTAAAAACTTTTTTTATTGTATTGTCTATTTTACCCTTATGGTAGATACTTTTCATAAATATTATTCCATTCTGAAACTGCAAGTGTGTAATTGTTCCATTCTGAAACATGTAGGTCTCCTTGTTCTTTCACTAAAGCTCAACGCAGTCCATGGAAAATCCTGGATTAGTTTGGAAGAAACAGATATACATATAGTTTAATCTAGCCGCTTCGAAAAGCTCAATGAGCTTCAATATTCTTAAGGCAGAGAACAATCAAGGCAAGCAATTGAGCAGAAAGGAATTAAAACTTTACACTGTATATTAGCTTAATTAAATGATTCACTGCACAATGTCATTGGTAATATATTTAAATACACTTGACGGAACTGCAATAACAAGGTAAGAATATCTCTAGATAAGATTTCACGCTAGATCAAGAACATTTTACTATATTTTAACTTAAATCAACTGTATAATGGCAGCTTTGAGCCACCCCTTTCAATTAATTTAACGAAAATTAATTGAAAGGGGTGGATGACGTGTTCGTTGACTATTGGACCTCAGTTTTTTTCTTAATGAAATGACGTCAGTTGCCAATGAAATATATATGATACGAGGCGGTGAACACTGAACAAAACAAGTAGATAGAAGTTCCTTTGTAAATCGACGTCACATAACTTCAGGTAATTTCCTTTGTAGTGTTTGTTATATTCATGCATGCATTGGAGTTAATGCCAAATTGGTATGTAATTGTTATTGTTTCAGATGGCATGGGGAAACATTTACAGAAGACGCATGAAAGTATTCAAGATGGCTTTGAAAATTTTCCTGGACTACAAGGTGAAGTTTCTTCCTTACTGCTTACTTTTTTATGTGAAGTGGATGGAAATTTTACTGACTTATAATCTGGTGTTAATATTTACTAAAGGGTGTACAGGCAAAAGAGAAATGGACCCAGAAATCTAAAAGAGGTGCATTATGGGAGAAAGCTCATAAGCGAAATGCTCAACGGGTTGTGAATTTGATGGTTGAGTTGAGCGGCTTATGGGTGAAAATTGGACAGTACTTATCGGCACGTGCTGATGTGCTTCCGGTGGAGTACATATCTCTTCTCAAAACGCTACAAGACTCGCTTCCTCCTCGTCCTTTATTAGAGGTGATTCGTCTTCTATCTTTCAACTTTGTATATTAAAAAATAATAGAAATCTAAGAGTCGTTTATTTTCTCACTGAACAATTATAGATTTTAATGCATCTTAAAATTTATTTATTTTATATTGATCATGTGTGAAAAATATTTTACAAAATTACCCTTGTACTTATTAGAGAAGTTTTAGGTCATATCATTGGTATTATTAATTATAGGTTAATATTATTAATCAGGGATTACTATTTAAACTCCCCTAGGTTTGCCCTAGCTCAATGAGCCCCATTGTGGTTCTGGCAACTACTCTAAGCCCCTTACCGCCAGATCCCCTAACGTATCTTGGGTTAGTTTTAATAGAATCAAGGGTAAAAAGCATAAAAAGCACCTAAAGTTTTATAATTACTAAGGGCTAATACATTTACAACCCCTATAACTTGTAAAGCTAACTTTATATCAAAAACTCTCCAAACTACCAGACAGACATATTTTTTTAATTATTCCAGATTTTTTTCCATTTTCCCATATGCTTTTTCCATTTTTTGGACTTTTAATTTTTTCTGTTATTTTAGATTTTTAGATTTTTTTTATAAAAATTGTAATATTTTACATAATTTAATAATTTTTAAGCCTAGTATGGGTGTTAGGGCTACTAGAGATGAAGTAAAAGTACGGGGTGAGTTGGAATTGATGGCCATAACAGGTGAGGGCATTAAGGTCATTTATCCTCATTTGGTTAAAGATTATCTTGAAGATTATTATGAGTCTTTAGGGAACTGTATTTGGTTGATTAGAATAAATTAATGGGTATATTATATAAAATACTAAATTGCCCTAATTTTTAAATAATAATATAATATTATTTTTTGAATAATTTCCTCTAACCCCTACATTTCAGATTTAGCCAAAACACTCCAACAACAAAAAAAGTTTAAAGCTTAACAAAAACATCTCCAGCCACTCGAAGACACTATCCGCAGCCAACCACAAATCCTAAAAAACTTTAAATATTTCGAAAAATTAAGAATACTTTAAAAAAAAAAAAAAAACTACCTAACAAAAAAATAAGAAGCTAAAATCAAAAAAATTTGCCAAGTTCAATATTTTTTTAAAAGTTTTCCATTTTTTTTAAGATTAGTATTAATTTTTTTTCCTTTTTAAAAGGTAAGGTTTTCAAGTTTTAGATAATTTCATTTTTAATTTTTCAGATATATATATTTAAAATTTTTCCAGATGTTTTTCCATTTTCCCATATGCTTTTTCCCTTTTTTGGACCTTTTAATTTTTTTTATTATTTTAGATTTTTTATTTTTTTATAAAACTTGTAATATTTTACATAATTTAATAATTTTTAAGCCTAGTATGGGTGTTAGGGCTACTAGAGATGAAGTAAAAGTACAGGGTGAGTTGGAATTGACGGACATAACAGGTGAGGGCATTAAGGTCATTTATCCTCATTTGGTTAAAACTAACTAGATAAACTTTGGTGTGTTTGGTTCAGGAAATGTTAAATTATTGGGAATGTTATCTTAACGAAAAGTTAGATTATCTTGAAGATTCCTGAGTTTTTAGGGAAATGTGTTTGCTTGATTAGAATAAATTGATGGGTATATTATATAAAATACTAAATTGTCCTCATTTTTAAATATTAATATAATATTATTTTTTTAGATAATTTCCTCTAACCCCCCCTACATTTCAGATTTAGCTAAAACACTCCAACAATAAAAGAAGTTTAAATCTTAACAAAAACACCCTCACTCACCCGAAGCCACTGCTCGCGGCCAACCACCACCGCAGGCAGTAGCGACAATGGAGATCTGGCCGTGAAAGGCCAGATCTGGCTGTTTCTGTCCATGGATCATAGATCCATGGCCAAAAACAGCCTTAGCGGCACATAGTCGGCCAGAGAAAGTCGGCCGTGAGCCACTCCGTCTCCACTAGCATGGTTTTCGATGGCTGACAGTGGTGGCTAGATCTGGGCACCACCCTTCGGTAATTTTTTTAAATTCCAAACGTATTTATGTTCTAAAAACTTTGTATATAAGGATAAAATAGTCAATTGATATTTTTGTAAATTATTCTTAAAACAAGGGCATTATTGTCCTAAAATTTTATTAATAAGGGGTAAAATTGTAACAAAAATAAGATTACTAAGTATTCTTAAAATACCTAAAAGAATAAAGATAATCAGATTACCTCCTATATTACAATTAGAAACTACTATTGGCAATGGAAGATTACCAGAATCTTATATTGCTTGACAATCAAATGTGGTAATCAAATAATATAAGATTACATCATCTCAGTAATCTCCTATTATCCATAACAAACAGAGCCTAAAGGGTATGATGACATGGTAGGGGGTTTTGAGTATCAAAACTATGGGGGGGTTATAGATTAGGGGAAACCTCAAGGGTTTAAACTTGATCTCTTATTAATCATGAATTATAAGCTAGAAAATAGAAATGAGTTTCGCCAACAAGGTCAGTTACAATATAAAAATAGCAGAAAACCGGCTGGGGTCCTTATGCCGTCAGGGATTCAAGGTTTGTTTAAGCGGGATTACCCCCCGAGGTTCGGCCAAGTATAGTAAACCCCTTGTAGTACTTGAAATTACTTAAACCTCCCTTTAGTATTGATAATTACTTTCAACCCCCTGCCATCTAGGGGTGTTTAAAAGAACCGATTGGAACCAGAACTAGCGAGTACCTGGGGTTTGGTTCCGGTTCCTACCCGGAATCAGTTGTTAACAGGTAGGTTGCAGTTCCAAATTTTTGAAACCGTTACTGTGCGGTTCCGATTCCGATTCATATAGTTAGGAACCGGAACCAGAACCAGAAACCGAGACTAATATAAAATAAAATTAAAGAGTAGGAGGTTAATAAAAACTTTTGTAGAAAAAGTAATGTGAATGCATTTATATTTATATTTCATAACATTTAAAGTGAGTTGGTTTGACTTTTGAGAATCTATCTTTACAAAGTAATAGAGTTTGTAATTTTGAATTTATAATTTGTAATTTTATTTTTGTTAACAAGTGCCAGGTAGGGGGGTATTTGTAAGTTTTTAAGAGATTTTTTGCCATTTTAAAAACTTTTGGGGGGTCATGAATTTTACAAGGTACCCAGAACCAGAATTGGAACCATTGTTACAGGTTCCGGTTTTGGGTACCTAGGAATCGAAACCGTCGGTTCCAGTTTTGGTTCCAAATTTCAAGGAACTGTTGGTTCCGATTCTTTCAAAAAATGCAGGGTATCTGGAGCCGAACACCCGTATTGCCATCAATGTCTTTTGATTACTTTTAACTGTAGAAAGGGTAAAATGTAAATTAATATAAATTTGAAAAAATTAAATTTTTTTTATAGATTTTATCTTCTCTCTATTTTTTTTTTTTAGGTTGTTTTAATAGTGTTTTAAAGTGCTATTATGTTTTCATCTTTGAACCTTTTTTTTTAATCCTTTTCTATTAGAATTTTTAATTTAAGGTTATGCATTTGTGTTATTTAAGAATTTTTAAAACTTTATTAGTTATTTTACCTTTTTTTTTAAATTTAAAATGATGTTAATAAATTTTATGGTAAATTAGTCAACTTCAAAATACAATTAACATAATCCGTGATTGTGTTTGGTCAAATTTAGTGAATTCTCATATTTATTAGAGCCTTATCAAATTCAGTCAATCCTCGGTAAACCTTAATACTAAATCGAGGTATATTTTACTCTTTTTCCATTGATTATGTTAAAGAAAAATATTAACTTTACAAAGACGCATACAAAGAAGGGTATATAACTCTTTTTTTTTTCTCTTTCTTTAAGGATAAGATCTATCTTTATATACCATTCTTTGTATGCATCTTTTTAAAGGTAACATTTCTTTAACGTTAAATCTATTATAGAAACTTTAGAGGCTTGACGGCATGGGGTTCAGAGTAATTACAAGGTTTATATATTTTGCTAAACCTCGAGGGGTTTAAGTCACTGATCCCTTGTTTTAACATATGAAAGGTACTACTAAGTATCAACTACAAGCTAAAAATCAGTCGTCAAATTTTCTTATTTATCAAAAACAATTCCTTAATCCGACAATATTTCATCAAAATATTCTCAAAATTCATCAATTATGCTCACCATTCAGCCTGTATTAAACAAGATCATTCTCGTATTCAAACCAAAATCATCAAATTTAATGGGTTTTAAGAAAATTAAAAATAAAATGAAAAGAGGAAAATTTGGTGTGCGGTGGCCATGGCTGCCCCTTGAAGCCTCATGTCGCCGCGTAGGAGCTTCTCAACGGTTAAATGTGGCCGCCACCAAGACTCACGTAGGGTATGTGCGTATTCTTCTGACATCTTCGGAATATCTAAGTGTAGTAAGTTTTGGTTGCACAGGTTTGTCAGACCATAGAGAAAGAGTTGGGTAAATCCATGGATGATATCTTCATGGATTTTGTCAAAACTCCTTTGGCAACAGCATCAGTAAGATTCTCCAACTATAATAGGTAGTTTGAGCTATTGAATTAGTCACTACATTCTGGGAGTTTTATGTTTTACGTTACGCAGATTGCACAAGTCCACCGAGCCAAGCTGATTAATGGGCTGGATGTGGTTGTCAAAGTTCAACATCCGGGCATCAAGACAATTATGTTGGAGGTTTTACATGCTTTTGTATATAAATTTTGGATGCTAAGTAAAACCTGCAGTGATTAAATGGTTATTAGGTTTGCTCTTATTATATAGGACTTGAAGGATGTAAAATCGATTATTGACTGGATAGCTTGGGCAGAACCGCTATATGACTTCAATCCTGTTTTAGACGAATGGTGCAGAGAAACTCCAAAAGAACTTGACTTCAATCTTGAAGCTGGTATGATAATTTTTTCTGAATGAACTGAAGATTCTTCGTATTTTTTAAACAAAAATTAGCTGTTTTCTGTTCCTGCATAAAGTGGTACGTGCATGAGTTATGATAAGATAATTAGGGAATGACTTTGCATTTACATTGTATGGATAAATTTTCTTATCGATGCTGTCTTATTTTTCTTATTGATGCTTGTTTTTTATTTGTAGAAAATACTAGAAATGTGTATAGCAATCTTGGCTGGAAAAACAGATCCGGAGATAATAAACCTGCCAATACAGTTGATGTTCTTGTTCCGGAAGTTATTCAGGCACGATTTTTATTACAGTTTCAAATTTAAAGTGCTGAGTCTTCATTCTGGAGTTTAGTTGACTCAGTGCTATGTTTAAATTTGAAGGATGGGAAGTCGGGAATATTTGTTTTTACTCTTATGTTAGCTTAAGTTATGGCAAAAATTTAAAAGAATAACAGAAAAGTCTTGTCCCAAAGAAAATAAGTTCAAGTTTTATCACTAAATATAAAATTTTTAAATTTCAGGCATATCCTTTTAACAAATGGGCGTATCTTTTGGCTATAACTATTATGTAACATTTAGCATGGTAATTATGTAATGGGAAGGAGGGAGTTTTTTTTTTTTTTAGTTTGGATTGGCGGTTGACCTAATTGGTACCAATGCTAGACTTTGATTACTGTTTACTTTGCAACTTGACTTTCTTAGAATAGAGAACACTGCCTTTTCATTTTCAAATGCTTAAATATGCATCTTTTTTTTATTTTTTTTTATTTTTTTTTTTTTTTTGGGTCAGTCAACCGAAGCTGTTCTCATTCTAGAGTACATGGATGGGATACGTTTAAATGACTCTGAATCTCTGGAAGCTTTTGGGGTTGACAAGCAGAAGATTGTAGAAGAAATTACACGTGCATATGCCCACCAAATTTATGTTGATGGATTTTTCAATGCTGACCCTCATCCTGGTACTTTTTCTCACGTGTTTTCTTTTGTTTACCCTTGTTGTCTTGAAATTTTATTTGACCTTCAGACTGAATCCAATATTAGTGCTACAATGGAAGTTGGTTTTTTCTGTTTACCAATATACCACTTCTGCAACAGTCAATTCCTACTACCCATTCCAATTCTTTCTTGGGTGTTTTAATGCAGGAAATTTCCTTGTTAGCAAGGAGGCTCCTCACTGTCCAATTTTGCTCGACTTTGGGCTCACAAAGAAACTATCCGACTCTGTGAGACAAGCACTTGCAAAATTTTTGTTGGCTTGTTCAGAGGTTTGGCTGTTTGGGTTAACTTTTTGTTATTTTTTTTCATTTTAGAATAATATTGTAAAGAATTGTAGAAACTAGAAAAATTATCTGATGATGCAATGTATTGATTGTGTGCGTGTCTATGAGTTGATCACTCTGGCACGAAAGACTCGTGTCTGTTTCTTCTTTAGCAGTAATCTTTTACTTTATCTTAGCATTCATTATTTTGATTAAATGCCTAAGGCTAGACCTTCATTATTTTATGTACTTAGCTTGTTAAGTATTCATCATAATGTTACTAGCTTGATTTGATGGGGGAGAATATCTCAATTTCAATAATTTTCACCAACTTTATGCTTAGTATTTGTGGAAGGCTTTTTTCTTTTATTCAGAATTTTAAATCTTAGTCCTTCAGAGTTTGAATTGGTTTACCTTTGTTAGAGCTTAAATACTATTATTAGATTCTTATGTATAAGCTTAAGCTTTTGTAATAAGTGGTTGCTTAACCTGCCATTAGAGCCAAGTTGACTAGTAGGCTTTTGTTTGATTCTCCATATTGTATTAATGAAATTATAATAAGTTGTATTTGTGATTGCAGTTTGCTCCATATGCTATTGTCTGACCTCTACATAAATGCTTTAACTTTTGGGAAGAGTGATTTCCTAACAACCTTGATTTGACTTCGATTTCTAACCACTTTGTCAATTGATATTGTCTTTCTGCTTTCAATATCTCTTCAAACTATTTCTCTTTCCAGATTAAGAAATAATTATTTTTGTCTTTGTCAAAGGGGGACCATGTAGCTCTTTTGTCTGCCATGGCAGAAATGGGACTTAAGCTGCGTCTAGACATGCCTGAGCAGGCTATGGAGGTTACAACTGTATTCTTCCGTGATTCCACACCAGCAAATGAAGCTCATGTATGTTTAAACTACTCTGATATTTTCTTCTCAACTTGGATTCTCTTGCTAATCTCCTTGTGTACAGAAAACCATGAAAACTTTGGCTGAGGAAAAGGACAAAAGCATGAAACATATACAGGAAAAGATGCAATTTACCCAAAAAGAAATCAAACGCTTTAATCCTGTAAGGCCATACCATTTCCTTTTTTCAGTATGTTTGTCTAATACATGCATTCAAAATTTCTTTCATATTTTTAATATAGTTAGACATTTTGGTTCCAGTTTGATGCCTTTCCTGGAGATTTTGTAATGTTTTCAAAAGTCCTTACTCTTCTAAGAGGTATGGTATAGAGACCTCCATTGCTCACCTTGTGTTAATCAACTGTGCACTTTTATCTCATTATCGAACATTGTTCAGGTCTTTCGTCCATGATGAATGTTCGCATAGTATATCTGGATATTATGAGACCATTTGCCGAATCTGTTTTAGAAGGGTCAGTTCATTCTAACCTTGATATGTCATTTCATTACATTTGTTATTGGCTCATATCTGACTACAATGTAATTTAACTTCTTAGAAACATGAACAAGGGACCAGCAACAAATCCCCACTGGATTTATGATACTCCAATCCATTCTGAAGTGGAGGCCAAGTTGAGGGAATTCTTAGTTCAGCTGGGGAATGAGGACAGAATACTTGGAATTCAGGTCTGCATCAATTTTAATTTTTGCATGCAGCTTAATAACCTGAATGGTATCTTTCCAATTGTTTCATTTTTAAAGCTTGTCATATTTTTTTACTTTCTATTTCTTTCCCTTCTACCTCTGGAGCTGTTAGTTTCCATGCTATGGGTGTTGTAGTAGTCTCAGTTAAAAGATAACAAGTTGATTGAGCTCAGTGACTTTGTTAGAAGCCTACATTTTTTTCCATTATTTTGGGGTAACCAGTTATTAGATAGAAAAAATAATAACAATACAACCAAGAAACAATGATAACTAATTAATGCCTCTATCCCCTGGAGAACATAGGATGATCTAGGATCTGCAAATGTAATAGACTTCATATAGGTTGTTGAGCTGCTTATATTTGGAAAGGTCACATGTAATATGTTGCTGGAAATAGATCTGTAAGTAAATGCAGGACTTTGCATATAACAAACCTGATTACCTGACATTTATGTAATTGCAGCATCAACCTTAAAGTATGTCACAAAAAAACTCTGAAGCACCTCTCCCCTGCCGGATGGCAAACCCTTTAGCCACTGGGGTTAGCTATACCCAGACGGTCTTATGTTTCGAGTCGTAGGAGAGGTATCTACCACATTTGTGTAATTACCTTGATCCATTGAGCTTGTAGGGTGTTCTGTGGCCCTGAAGATTAGGCAGGCTCCAATGTGGGCCTGGATACCTCCGTTACCTAAAAAAAAAACTTTTGAAGCAAAGTTATCAAAAGTTCCTCCTTTCATAGAGAATTTCCTAAAGAAGTCCTGTATGTGTTTTTGATGGCTTCAACTAATGATATCGCTTTTAGCAAGCATACTACAACCTACTTATTAATGCCTGAACTTGTATAACTTTAATGATACACCTTTGGATTTATGAAGCCTAAGATCATTACAATATTTTGGTTTCAAAGAATATTGCTAACTATCAATTATTGTATAGGATAATCCTTTTTAGATTTTTCCACATTTCCTTTTGAAAAGTATCCATTGCATTTAGTAACATCTGTAAAAAAAAAAAAAAAAAAAAAAAATTAATCATAATGGTGGTTGCACTTGTTTAGAATGTCAGATTTTCAGAAACTTGGATGTGCTTGACATCCAATTATGAAAGTAATATTATGCACCAAGTGGGACACTTGTCATTATCACCATAGACAATCAGTTTATCAAACTTTGACGGTTTGTCTCTTGCTAGAATTTTCCGAGCAATTAGACTACAAAATTGAAACTCAATGCAGCTTTAAAAATAATAACACTTATTTAGTCTGAAATTCATGTGGCTCATCCAAACTACTCGAAGTGGTGAGATCTTTGCTGAATCGCTGGTAGAGCTAATCTCAAAGACCTTTAAATTCCTGAAAATCACCTGTATTGCTGCTAACAAAGCAGGAAAACAAAACTATGCTCCCAAGAGGTTGGTAACATGGGTTACTTATTTTTGTTGTAGTCATGATCAACAAAAGCCTTTATCTACCTCTCTACGATTAAAGTGGAGAGTGCTAAAGCAATATGTTTATACTATTTTGATATTGAGTGAAAGTTTAATGGGAATAGGTACTTATAGTGAAAAGGTATTTATAGTGAATTTTGAAAAAAGAGATTTAGTGTACGATATGTGAAGCTAGGTGATTCACAAAAAGGAATTATTTTCTTGCAGTTTCTGTACCATTAGTTGCTTCACCTTTATTTTATATATAACTTTTTAGTCTGAAATCCATATTAACATTTGTTGGATGATTAATAAGCTTATTTCTCTATTTTTGGATGCCAAAATATGAAAAAGCAGAAACGTAGACATGATTGTTCTTCACTTTTTATGAGATTTTCATTAATGATGTCTTAAGGTTTGTGCGTACAAAGATGGTGAGGTGATTATAGATACTGCTGCTGGAGTGCTTGGTAGATATGATCCTCGTCCTGTTCAGCATGATAGTCTTTTTAATGTTTTTTCGGTAACAAAGGGCATCACAGCAGGATTGTTACACTGGCTGGTTGACAAAGGGTATGTAATTGTTCTTATGGGTACTATGCTTTATGTTTGTAAATCTTTATGCTTTGTTGTGCAAAACTTTTATTTGAGTAGTTGCTATTCCCTGCACATATACAACAAATAATTAGTTTTCTAATTTATGTTGTTGAGGTCTGGCTAGACATCATTTGAGAAGTTTTTATTAAATTTTGAACAATGCATGATTATGCTGATGTTTTGGATGGTCCACATCAACTGCATGTCAGAGGACATTGTTAAAAGGAGAACTTAGTTCAATATGATCCAGCAAAATTAAATTTTGACATGGGTAGGGATTTACATGCATGACCTTTTTCGAAATTTTGGCAATGTTTTTTTTTTTTTGGTGTGTGTGTGTGTGTCCCTTTTTGGAAATCTACAAAATGTATTTTATTGAGGGTCATGGCATTTTGCAATATAGTTGGACATGGCCCTCAATATTGATGCCTGGACTTGAATCTATTCCTCTTCATATTGAAAAGTAGAGTTCTTTTTGGTAATTGGGTAAATGAAGAAAAGATGACCATGTAATATATTACTCGAGAACTTCTTAACTAATAAAGATACGCATTTGTAAAGGTCCTAACTAGCATCAAACCTTTGGTTTCTTTTGATATACCTATCACTTTGGTTTTATATAAGAAATTTAGAATTGAACAAGTATAATCAAAAGAGTTGGCTACCAAAGTGACCCTCACCTCGAGTCTTGTTCATTAGTTTTACTACTGTAACCCAAGATTTCAAGTATTTTGGTGCACTTCATGTCATTCTTCTCAAACAAAATAACAAAAATCTTTATGTTAGCTGCTAAGTTACTGCTCTATCTGAAATCTTAAGCTAGTAGGTGGGGAGGGGCTTGTCAACATTAATATCTTTCCAATAGACTCTCTCACATGAAACTTAGATTTTTTTCACATATATATATATATTTTTTTTATCTAGTTAAAATGTGGGGATTTAAACTTGCGATCTTTGGCTTTGATACCATGTTGAGTTACCACTCTACCCAAAAGCGTAAGCTATATAGTAGAGGTTTATCGACATTAATATTTAGTCCAATAAGCAGAAAGATGTGAGAGACAAATGACACATATTTGCGAAGGGAAATAGTGGAGACTCAGAAATTCTTCATTCTAGTAAATGGAACATGTAATTCATATTGTAGATTTTGGAGCTCATTTCATTATGTCTTGCATGGTGTATTTTGAGATATTTAAATAAGCAGAGTTTGAAATCATATGCCTTTAGTTCATTGTGGAATTATTCTAGGATACCCCTGTAGAATTCCATAAAGATGCTGTGATTTTGTCAATGATTTTGAACTAGGGTCAACAAATCTGCAATGAGCAAATTGATCCATAAAGATTCTCAAATTAATGGATACTTTGGTACATGAGAGACCATTTTGTGATCTAAATTGTCAACGTTACATTAGATGTTCGAGCAATTTAACAAATTTTGGCATTTTGTCTTGCAGAAAACTCAAGCTTGAGGATAATGTTGCTAACATTTGGCCTGAATTCGGATCAAATGGAAAAGATCTCATAAAGGTTTAAATCTTATCCTTTGACCTTTTTAAACATATCCTGTCGTTAGCCATAGTTCTTATGTCGGTAACCCAATATAACTTGGTTTTGGATTTTAGGTCCATCATGTGCTTAACCATACAAGTGGTTTGCACAATGCTTTGGTTGAGGTTGGAGAAGAAAATCCTGTTGAATATGTTGACTGGGATGATTGTTTGAGACGGATTGTGGCATTAAAACCTGAAACTGAACCCGGTCAACGGCAGGTCTATCACTACCTGTCTTTTGGTTGGCTGTGTGGTGCAATAATTGAGGTATTGTATCATGCTAATGTTGCTTTCAATTGAATATAACTTGTCCACTATGGTTTGAGTCTGAAGCTTTATAAACCCTGAAATCTATAGATAACAAATATCTTGCCTATATTTATATGGTGCTGTGTCTAGATGCCATATGATCATAGGTATGCCAACTTGATTGATTGTGAGTTAGATCTTTTTGCTGGCCTTCAGAGTGATTAAAGAATTTGACTATATTTTCAACTTCTCTATGTAGTAACCCATTCTAATGATAAGTTTTGATAATACAGCGAGCATCCGGGAAGAAATTTCAGGAGATTCTTGAAGAAGTATTCATTCGACCCCTAAATATTGAAGGCGAGCTATATGTTGGAATTCCAGCAGGTACTCGTCAAACTTCACTTTTTTAATCTTCTCATGTTACTTAGTACAAAGTTTACACGAATATGTGCACACAGTTATATTCTATTCAAAAGAACATAAACTTTGTAGTGTACTGTAACTATGAATCTGAAATAGCTGTCATCAATGGCATTATCATGCCGTTCAATGGCTATCCTCCAGGTGTGGAATCTCGACTTGCAACTCTTACAATAGATGAATATGATCTCAAAAAGTATGCGGACAAATCTTATCATTCTGACCTACCCCCTGAGTTCCAGCTTGACAAAGTTGCAAAGATCATCACCAGCTTGCCGGTATTTTTCAACATGTTATACGTTCGCCGTGCCATCTTACCTGCTTCTAATTTACATTGCTCAGCCCGTGCAGTTGCACGCTACTATGCAGCCCTAGCTGATGGGGGAGCGATCCCACCCCCACATTCCTCTTTATCCAAGCCACCACTTGGTAGTCACCCTCACATCCCCAAATTTCCTTCACAAGAGAAGTTAAAAAAACCAAAAGGTAAGAAAAACAAGGAGGTACCTGCTGCTTCAAAGAACAATACAAATAATAAGGGTAAAGATGCTAGTGGTGATGATAACACTAGGCCAATAAATATTGGTGGCAAGATTTTTAGTAACCCTAAAATCCATGATGCGTTCTTGGGTGTGGGTGATTATGAGCGTTTGGCGTTGCCAAATGGGCCATTTGGACTAGGGTTTAAGAGGAATAGAGCCGACAATGGATTGATTATCGGTTTTGGGCACTCGGGCATGGGTGGATCAACAGGTTTCTGCGACATAAAAAACAGATTTGCTATAGCGGTGTCATTGAACAAAATGTCATATGGTGCTGCTACTGCAAGAATCATGGGCTTGGTTTGTTCAGAGCTCAATATCCCACTGCCGGTGGAATATTCATATGTTAAGGACCTTGAAAGGCCTCTCACTCGCTGAAAAGGAGTATCTCATTTCCCCACTGTATGAATTATATCCAGATCAAACATTGATGAATAAGTAAACATTTCATAAAAGTTATTATATTGAATAAGAAAAAGTTATTTCTTTGCCATCTTTGTTTTATCATCTGGGTCTGGGGTGGAATTCGGAAGTTAAATTATTTAGTGATAAAATGGTGCAACCCAATTGGTGATTTCTTTTCCCAAAAAAAGGCAATATTATTTTAACATACGAATTTTACAAACTTTTTTTCACGTCACGTATATGAGAGAAAATTTGTGAGATTCGTTTGTCAACTAATCTTTATTGCCTAAAAAATTTTGCACACCCAGAAGGGAAGAAATTATATAGACCACCTATTTTTGAAATATGCTTAATATTATGACTTAATTATGTTTATTATTTTATTAAAAAGTTAGATTTTTTCCTTAGCGAATCTTCATAGAATTTTATTAATTGGAGAGCTTGATAAAAAAAAAAAAAATTTGTTTTGATTGTTAAAGAAAGTGCAATTAAACCGTTGGGACAGTAATATATATATAGGTATCTCAGAGTTCTGTTATTTACTAGATATTTTAACTGCAACGCTCATTAATAAGATTTTTTATGACATTGCCATATCTTTGTAATTCTTTTACTGAAATAATATATAGAAATTAATTATTACATTTCTCTTTGCATTTTCATCATATTTTAATGTTATGGGCCGACTGCACCTTCTTGATTTTTAAAATTATTTTAGGTAATCTCAAAAAAAAAAAAAAAAAAAAAAAAAAAAAATCATAATGTAATTTTAACATAGTTAATAAATTAAAAAAGGGTTATTATCATGTACTCCCCTGGGGTATCGGGGTTTCTTAATGCCTCCCCCATATAAGAAATCCCAAAAAACCTCCTTTCACATTTTAGCTTTCCTCAAATACCTCCCTTGAGCACCATTTCTTTACGAGTAATACTACACTTACAAAGAAATTTTACAAAAATCTCCATACAAAGTGATGTGGCAAAAAATAAATGGAAGAGTGAATTTAATGAGTTTGACTTTTTGTTTCACTCTTCCATTTATTTTTTGCCATCTCACTTTGTGGAAATCTTTGTAAGATTTCTTTGTAAGTATAGTATTATTGTTTCCTTATGGCCAAGCATGACTGACCAGGGGCACATGTGTCATTTCAAAGGAAACCATATAAACACAAGTTAAAATAACCTATTTTCGAGTTAAAAGCTTTCCCTTCTTTATTTTTTGTTTGCCTCTTGGTCTTTGTCTTTCTTCTCATCTCTCTAAGGGAAAAATCTTTTCCAATTTATTCAATCTTTTCTATGTCAAATGCAATTTTCTTCTATTATTTTCTTCAATGATTTGATTCATCTCTTAGGTGATATTGGGTTTCACATGGAAGAAAGGGATAAGTGGCGGATCCAGGAATTCAATCTTGAGGCGACTGATCCTTATAGATAGGGCTTGCTATGTATAAGTGATAATCATATTTTTCATACTGATTTTGCATTGAACTTTAATAGTATTTATGATACTTTTAATTAGACCTAGCAAGATACGTAGGTAGATCGGGTCGAGTCTAAATGGGTGTGAGTCCCATGGGTACGGGCCCTAAATGGATCGATCTAAATGGATCCAAAATATTGGACCCACACCATACCCTATGCAGGTACAGGTGGACCGGCAAGTACCCGTATTGATTACAAAAGTTTTAAATTATGATAGTTACACCTTAAAATTCCTGCAGTTTTCATTTTTTATAATTACACCCCCATTATTTATGCATATCAACTTGAAATAAAGGCAATTGAGTGAATGGGTAATGTTTTTTTTCTTTTTTTTTTTTCCTTCCCTTTTCTCTCCTCTTCTCCTTCTTCACTCCACAATCCATTTCCTTGCCGTTTCTTATATTTCCTTTCATTTATCTTTTTTCTTTATTTTCTTTTCTTCTTCACTCCATTATTTTCTTTTCTTTATTTGAGTAAATGGGTAAGGATTTGTGGGTTGCTTTTGTGTTTGTGGTTGTTTAAATATGAAGTTCTTTCATTATTTATGGATGGGTTTATGATTATTAGTTGGCCAGCTCTTGACAGTTTCGGTTGCCATGGTTTAAGCAATTTTGGCACGCTAGATCCCTTTTCCTTCCTCTTTTATTCTTCTTCCTCAATCCTTTCTTCTTTTTTTGAGGACAACTTTAGATCTGAACAATTTTGGCAACATTTCTTTTGATTTCTTAATTGATTTTTTTGGTAGATTTCTTAATTGGGTTTTTCTAGATGAGAAGAGAATGAGGAGAAAAGTCGAACTGTTGAGTGTTGAATCGAAGAGAGTTGAACAATTAAATTTTAGGAATTAGGGATTTAGGTGATTTTTTTTTTTTTTTTTACGGGTACCCATGGGTATACTCGGCCCACCTGTTTAAAAAAAGGGCCGATTCGGGTAAAAACAAAACGAGTCCAAAATGGTGGACCCGTATCCTATATTTTTTGGAGGGGTATGAGTCCACCCATGGGCATGGACCCATTTTGCCAGGTCTACTTTTAATACATTTTGGGCCATAATTGATATTTAATTCTATTAATTGCTCATTGTACGCTTATGATTTTGAGCAAAAATAACGATTTTAGTGCAAATGGCGTAATTTGAGCTTGTTAAGTCGAAATAATCTGAATCTAGAAGCTATAGAAAGCTAATCCCCAATCCTTCCAACAGCAAATCCAGAAATAAATCAAGAGGAGCCTACTGCAGTTCCAACCTCCCCAACTCTTGCTGCCATTGATCCTGTTGAGTCTACTCAACCTTAAGCTTCAGCATCAGCTCCACAACAATCAACTGCTTCTCATGGAGGCAAAAGAATCAAGAAAAGAGCCTAAAGATGAAAGCTACCTACTCGAAGATCTAGTCAATATTGAGGTTTGGTTCAAACCTTATGAACAAAGAGGGGGAGTAGGTATATTTTGTTGGTATTTTGTTTTGATGAGGTTATGATGTTGTAGTGTGAAATGGTCTAACACTGAGGGGGAGTTTGGTTTTGGTTATTGTTTTTAAGTTTCTGGTTATGTTGAACTGTTTATTTTTTTCAGAATTGAATTTGTTTATGATGCTTTCATATCTTTATATTTTTGCCTTGTGGTGATGATGTTTCTTGAGGATATGACTTCTTGTTTTTGCTTTTGTTTTATTTATTGTCTTTGTGCTATAATACTGATTTTGTTTTAGACTTGTTAGAGTTGTTCTTTTGGTTAAGATTGTGTTTTGTTCATAAGTTTGACAAGGGGGAAATTGTAAAATTTTTGTCAACTTATGAAGTTATGTGTGTGTACATTATTTTCTAATGTTTGCACATTAAGTTGTTTAAAGCACAACCATGTTTGTGGTTTACACATGTAGTAATATATTGTATAAATGTGTACACATTTCCTTTGTCTGAACTTATTGCAAATATGTGTAGATTTTACTCAGTTGTGTAAACATTTTTCAAATTAGATATTTTAGCACAGGTGTCATGTTTTCATTACTTGTTAGGATATTTTTCCAGTTTTGAAATCCTTGAAAGGTCTATTTACAAGTGTTTGATGTTTCAGAAGTGGTCCAGGAAAGTTGTGCTTTTTCAAATGTAGTCCAACAAAGTTGTTGAGAACTTTCCTAAAATAGTCCAACATGTGTAAGGCTTTGTCGGTTGAGTATACTAAGGGTTTGTTGAGCAAGGATTATATAGTCTCTTCTTCTTCCTTGTGTCTTCTTTGAACTTGAATATTCCATTAATTATTCTCTAAAAGTTTTAGAGAGTTTATTCATTTTCTTAGGTTCCTTTTGTTGTTTGTCCTTTAATATTCTCATATCTTGTTTGAGTGTTTTTGTTGGAACATTGTTCCTTTGCTGAAAGCTTGTTGGTTGTTCAAGTTGTAGAGTTGAAAGTTGATTTCGACCATTGAAGCTTGAGTGGAGCTTGAGCTATTTAGGTGGTTTCTTGGACTCAAGCAAATTGTAGTAGAGCATTGAAACAATCAAAGGGTGGAGTTGCAGTGTTGTAAAGCATAGAGTGTTTTACATTGTTTTTGTTATGCCTGAAGAAAGCAGGGCTAACATAAGGCCAGGTCAGCATGAAAAAGTTAAAACTTGGGTACACCCGCAGCCGAGTCACATAATGAAAGGAGCAGTGCGCTTCTGTCAGTGCAGTGGGTGCGTGCCAGGCCAGCTAGGAGCTGAAAAGCTTCCACGTGTCCAATTCCTGCACCAAATCACGTAAATTGCTCTAGAAGGTGGGCAATGAGACATAAAGGAAGATTTGTACGGATAATATCACCAACTCACATATTCAATAATCATAACCATAATCTATCCCACTATAAATTGAGAGTTCCTTTCTCAATTTGGGGGATGAGCAAATCTCTCTAGAAAATTGCCTACTCTCTCTCTCTCACTCTTCCTTGTAATCATTTGTAAAATCAGCTCGCGGGATGCGACCTGACCGCTATCATTAATACAACATCAGTGGACGTAGGACTTGCTTCTTTAAGCATCTGAACCACTTTAAACACTGTCTAGTCATTTCTTTTACTCTCATTCTTTCATCCACGTGTGTTTTCTGGGTCAGCTCAGTATTTCACACATGCGTTTGGTTGGTGTCAAAATCATGCATCAACAGTTTGGTGCTAGAAGGAGGGCCTGATTTAGTATTCATCCTTTATCAGGAGAATCTCTAACTTACTGGTCCTACAATAGCAAATGGCTTACCGACTTGAACCAGAGTGGACTAATCAGGGTTCCGAGGAGATCCCCCAAATGCAGGAGGACACCTCTCCCGAGGTGCCTTCAGTTCCGCAGAATGCCGCGAGGAATATCCCGTCAAGTTTACAACTTGACCCTTCCGTCATGAGCTATCTAAAGAGGTTCAACAATACTCTCCAAACGGTCAAACAAAGGTTGGACCATTTGGACCAGGGCATGCCACCCAAATCAAATGAGGCGGTGCAACCACCAAAAACGCCTACAGGTTACACGAAAGCACGGTAAAGGGCAATAGCCCGTGCCGCGAGCACTTCAGCGCGTCGAAGGAAGGGTAAACAAGTGGCGAAAAATGGGCCTAAGAACTCTAAAGGGCCGGTGAACAC